TAATTGTGTTAGTGCAATTGAGGGTAAATTGTGCATTCTCATATACTACTTTTGGGAATGTAAAGTGGCACCACCTCTATGGAGACAATAAGGTAATTTTTGTTAAAATTATAAATACATACCAAAAAGCACATTATTGGATCAAATGATGAAATTAAATTCAGATGGCATATATTAGAGAAATATATTGTATCTATGTTCAATTTATTGAAGTTAATAACTTGTGGTTATATAAGAGGATATCCTTATTTTGAGAAAACACACATTGAAGCATTTAAAGGAAAAGGGCAATAATATATTCAACTTATACTTAAATGGCTCAGAAAAAATGTTTCCTCGAATACATGTATGTATATGTAAATGCACACACACAGACACAGAGAGCATGAGAGAGAGAGCAAATGATAAAGCAAATGGAATAAAATGTTAGGAGATGATAAAGGGTTTTCAGCAATTCTTTATACTATTCTTATTCTTGCAACTTTATTGTTAAATAACGTTTTTAAAAGTGTGGAAAAATGCACATACCCTTTGACCCATAACTTTCCCTTTTAGGATATAAAACCATTTGTCAACTCTTGCTACAGACAATGAAAAAGAATGAAGCATCTCTATGTGGTCTGACTGGGCCCATCTCTAAAATATATAATTTAGTTTAGAAAGCAACATTGAATATTTACTACTTTTACCCTGTTTACTTCCAATTAGAATCTGAGGGGACCTATTTGTGTGTCGGTGATTTTTTTTTTTTTTTGGCTGCACTGCACAGCACGTGGGATCTTAATTCCCTGACCAGGGATCAAACCCACGCCCCCTGCATTGGGAGCGCAGAGTCTTAAACAGGGAAGTCCCTGTGTGTCAGTAATATTAAGTTCAATCCTCTTTTCAGAACTTCTGGGCTGATTTAGCCCAGATGATAAGGTCTGTTCAGAAGATGTGGCACATGGTTACCAAGGACAGACAGCCCACTCAGTCCCCTTGATCTTGGCTTCGCTGAACCACACTTGCCTTCAGAGTCACAGCAAAGTCCCACCCCCATCTTCTTCAGCAGGCCATCTCCTGTTACTGTCCTTGCCTTTTCCCTGGTTTCGTCCTCCTGGGGCCCTGTAGCATCTTCTGGGTGGGGATGAGGACATTTCCTTAGTCAGATCTGAACCAGCTTCTCTAGTTGTGTGGGGCAGGAGAGGAAAGTAAAATTATGTGCTAAATTATGCCTATTCTCAACTGCTTTGAGCCCTTCACAGCTTCCTTCCTAGTGGTCCACTTTAGCAAAACCACCTGGGCTAAATCATCTATGGGTGCCACACGGGACTGAGTGAATGAATAAAAAGAGGTGTAAGGCTACCACAACTTTCATGAAATTCACTTTCCAGGTTGTACTTTGCCTTTTACTGTTTGCATTAGTTTTTCAATTATAATTAATTTCCTAAAAATAGAGTAGATTGTCAACAAGAAGCCCTACAAGGCCAACGGTCTGAATGATAAAGTTCGTCTGTAAATGTTTCACCTTGAGGCAGCAAGATGCATTTACTTTATATTTTACATTTCTTCAATGACATTGTATATTTTTTCGTGTTATATTGTATTTCTTCTTTGGTGAGTTGTCTGTTGATGTTCTTTACCTATTTCTGTTTTGGAGTGGTAGTCTTCGTAAAAACTATAAGTTAAGATAATAATGACATCATATCCAATGTTCTGTCCATCCTGAAAAAATGGCCCCTAAAATGTCAATAATTTGGCTCTGCTCTCTCTCCCTTTCCCTCCTTCTTTCCTTGTGGTACAGTAGAAAGGGCACTAAATTTGGAGGCCTAAAACGCAGGTTCATTGCTGAGTCCCTGGGATTTATGTACTTACATATATAATGAAGGGGCTGGATTAACTGGTCAGCAAGGCCTTAGATGTCTAAAATTCTTTAGTCTTTTTCTATTCCCTCCCCAATCATCACCAGCCTCATTCTACCTATGATGGTAAGATGACTTAACTGTGAGTTAATTGTAGGACTTTTTTTTTAGTAGCCATAAATCACTGGTGATGTAAAAATCAAAGGAAGAAGTACAGAGAAAAGAAATGGTCCTTCATACCCTCAGAAGTTTCAGTTTCTTTGTAAATGATAAAATTAGTTAAGATTCTACCATCTCAGGGTCAGACTTTGGCTCTGTTGAGGATGTTAATGGCATTATTGCAAACAAATAGCTTCAAAGCAAATAACCAAATATTGACTAAAGCAGACACAGTCCAAAATTTTGGTTTATTTGGTAGTGCAAATGAATAAGCTAGTCACATCAGCTCTGATCCTCCCACTTCTTGTACCAATCCTCTTCAATATTCTGATTTCCACACACTTGCCCTCAGCCAACTTACTTCTAAAAAGACAAAATTTAAATAATCAATTTGTGCATTGCTAAAGCAAAGCTGGTTTAGAATGTTTTAGTTTTATCATCAAAAGGGCCACTACTTTGCATTTTCTAGTATCCCCCAACCTAATATCTGCTATTTTCTTAGAAATTCAAATTTTTCTTTCAAAGATCTGGCTCCCCCAAAAATATAAGTACAATTGTTTTTTTTTACAAATGGTGAGGGGAGAAATCCACTCAGAATTCTACCATTCTAGTACAACTATTGCTTGTTTGTTTCTCCATATTCCCTTCATCTTCGTTCACGTTCATGCACGAGTCACAGTCGGGTGATACACCCTGACTATGTATCACCATCAAACATTTTCCATGTTGCTACACAGAAGTCATTATCATTATCAGTTGCAACATAATTCATAACGTAGATCAACATCATTTTTTTAACCACTTCTATATTTGGGGGCATTTGACTCCAAAGTTTTACTCTTTTACAGTAATGGTATCGTGAAGATCTTCATGCATAAAGCTTTTTCTTAGGAGTCATTAGGCAAGGTCCTAGGGAATGAGATTCTGGGTTAAGTGGTGTGACTATATTTGGCTTTTTTAAAAAATTAATTTATTTATTTTATTTATCTTTGGCTTCGTTGGGTCTTCATTGCTGTGCGCGGGCTTTCTCTAGTTGCAGCGAGCGGGGGCTACTCTTCATTGTCGTGCACGGTCTTCTCATTGCGGTGGCTTCTCTTGCTGTGGAGCACAGGCTCTAGGGTGCATGGGCTTCAGTATTATCTTTAAATTCATACAGAAAAACAGAGATGTAGAAAGCCCTCGGCCTTCCAACAACAACAACAAACCCCACTGCTGTGGTATGATAGATATAGGAAAAAGTGTGAAAGAACACAAAATCAAATGCAGTCGTCCGTCAGTACCTGCAGGGGATTGGTTCCAGGACCCCTCTTGGATACCAAATTCCAGGGATGCTTAAGTCCCTTATATAAAATCGTGTACATCCTCCTATATACTTTAAATCATCTCTAGATTACTTATAATATCTAATACAATGTAAATGCTATGTAAATAGTTGTAAATACTATGTAAATACTATGTAAATAGTTGCCAGGCATGTGGCAAATTCAAGTTTTGCATTTTGGAACTTCCTGGAATTTTTTTTCCCGGAATATTTTCGATCCACAGTTGGTTGAATTCGCAGATACAGAACCGTAGACATGGAGGGCCAACAATACTATACTAGAAAGTAAAACAAGATCCACTGTATATATAGGCTTTTGCAACTTGCTTTTTATGTAGCTTCTAAATATATACTTTTCATTAGGAAATATTTACAGCATACATAAAATTATAGGAACTCACCAACCAGCTTTATCTTTTTTTAATATTTATTGGTTTATTTTTATTTGGTTGTGCTGGGTCTTAGTTGCGGCAGGCGGGCTCCTTAGTTTTGGCACGTGAACTTTTAGTTGCAGCATGCGAACTCTTAGTTGCGGCATGCATGTGGGATCTAGTTTCCTGACCAGGGATCGAACCCGGGGCCCCTCCATTGGGAGCGCAGAGTCTTAACCACTGCACGACCAGGGAAGTCCCCAACCAACTTTATCTAACGTTTTGCAATATTTGCTTTAGATTTAAAAATATAGGGCTTCCCTGGTGGTGCAGTGGTTGAGAGTCCATCTGCCGATGCAGGGGACGCAAGTTCGTGCCCCGGTCCGGGAAGATCCCATATGCCGCGGAGCGGCTGGGCCCGTGAGCCATGGCCGCTGAGCCTGCGCGTCCGGAGCCTGTGCTCCGCAACAGGAGAGGCCACAACAGTGAGAGGCCCGCGTACCAAAAATAAATAAATAAATAAATAAATAATTTTTTAAATTTTAAAAAATAAAAATATAGAGAGTTGAAGCCCCTCGTGTGCCCCCATTATCTGTTTCCCTCCCTCGCTTCATAGAGATAAATCACATCCTGAATTGGCTATATATCATTTCAATGTGTGTTTTTATATTTTTATTACATAAGTATGTTTCAATAAAATATATTTACCTTATTCAATTCTAAAATGCATGCCTTTTCATATTATATCGCTAAAACTGGGATGTACCTTACAATCCACAATAAAGCACTACATCACAATTTAATCTGCAGGTTTTCCCCTTCGTCAGCAACAGTGTTTTAGATTCTATGAAATGTGGTAGTATTTTTTCCTTAGTTTTTTTTTTTAATGAAATGTAAATGGTATCATGTTAAACATTCTACAGCTTCATATTTTCAACCAATACTATGAGATTTACCAATACTGTTACATGTATGCGGCATCTTTAAATGTTCTTAACTCACCACTACACACCACAAGATTAGGAGTCCTCTAGGTAAGGAGCAAGTCCTATGCTAGCTAGTGAAAATGGCAACCATTATTGCTCAAATGTGTGTGCTTGGCTAAAACAAAGAAAAGGAGTTAACGAGATGGAAATAAGAAAAAAGGGAAGGAAAGAAGATAAACAGAAGACGCTTCCTTGATACGTAAGTAGCTGGGGACAGCAGACAACTGCATAACTAAACATGATGATTCAGGAATAAAAATGATGACAGGAGGAAGGAACCGCGGGGAAGGACTTGGCGTGAGACCTGTGCGGCCAGGCCGGGGCTCATGGCCGCCTCCAGGACGCTCAGCACTTTCCGTCTCCCGCCGTTACCCACGATTAGAGAAATCATTAAGTTGTTTAGACTGCAAGCCGTGAAGCAGCTATCCCAGAATTTCTCTTGGACTTGAGGCTGACAGATAAAATTGTAAGGAAAGCTGGCAGTCTGACAAATGCTTGTGTTTATGAAGTGGGCCCTGGGCCTAGGGGAATCACAAGATCCATTCTCAATGCCGGTGTTGCTGAACTTCTGGTGGTTGAAAAGGATAGTCAATTTACTCCTGGGTTAAAGATGCTTTCTGATGCAGCACCTGGAAAACTGAGAATTGTCCATGGAGATGTCTTGACATTTAAGATAGAAAGGGCTTTTCCAGAAAGTCTCAAAAGACAGTGGGAGGATGATCTTCCAAATGTACGTATTATTGGAAATCTGCCTTTTAGTGTATCAACTCCACTGATTATCACATGGCTTGAAAATGTTTCTCATAGAAATGGACCTTTTGCTTATGGCAGAACCCAGATGACTTTTCAAAAGGAAGTGGCAGAGAGACTTACAGCCAGTACAGGAAGCAAGCAGCATAGTCGCCTCTCCATCATGGCCCAGTACCTCTGCGACGTTCAGCACATCTTGACAATTGCAGGTCAGACTTTCATCCCCAAACCAGAGGTGGACTTGGGGGTGGTGCATTTCACCCCCCTGACCCGGCCCAGGATAGAGCAGCCATTCAGGCTGGTGGAGAGAGTCGTTCAGAATGCCTTTCAGTTCCGAAGGAAATACTGCCATCGAGGGCTTGGAACGTTATTCCCTGAAGCTCGGCGATTAGAAAGCACTGGGAAACTGCTACGCTTGGCAGATGTGGACCCTACTCTTCGACCCACCCGGCTCTCTGTCTTACATTTTTTTTTTTTTTTCTTGCGTTATGCGGGCCTCTCACTGTTGTGGCCTCTCCCATTTGCGGAGCACAGGCTCCGGACGCGCAGGCTCAGTGGCCATGGCTCACGGGCCCAGCCGCTCCGCGGCATGTGGAACTTTCCCTAACCGGGGCACGAACCCGCGTCTCCTGCATCGGCAGGCGGACTCTCAAGCACTGCGCCACCAGGGAAGCCCTCTGTCTTACATTTTAAGAGCCTCTGTGACGCATACCGAAGAATGTGTGATGAAGACCCACACCTCTTTGCTTACAATTTCAGAGAAGAACTCAAGCAAAAATCAGAAAAAAGGGCATGACAAGGAGAGTTACAGACTGTAGCTGCTACTTCAGGGGCTGGCAGCCAACTGGATGTTGATTTTCATAGTGTTGAACTTCTCATATGTGTGCTACCCAGGTGTGACTTATTTCCCCTTTTACATCTTGGTAAAGAGAATAAATATCATCAAATAAGTTTAAAAGTGAAACCAGCAACTTAACCCATATCTGGAATGACCTGTATTATGCCTTTCCATGGCTCTCTGTTTCATAAAAACACTCCTCGTTGACAACCGACGTTAAGCTCTGGACGCTGAATTCTCGCTCGAGAACAGAAGTGAGATCAAGGTTGGCATTTTCTGATTGACTGTCCAGGGACTGGTGACGCATCTGCGCCTTCAGCAGCGTTCCCCTGTCCCTCTTGGTGCTGTTGGCTTTTCGTTTGATGGCGCAGAAGTGCCCCCGGACCAGCTTGGGCTGCCCATCCTTGCCGGGCGGCTGTTGAGCTGGCTGAGCGTCCGGGTCCTCCGAGATCCTCAGTCTCTGGAACTGGATCTCCATGTCTTTGGTAGGGCTGCCCTGCTTCCCAGTCTGGTGGTAGTCCTCGTCGTCGCTCAGAATGTCACTCTCTTTGATGAGACTGTCGGAGAAGTTGGCCAGGCCCTCGTGGGGGTGTTTCTGGGCGTCCTGTCTGCTCCCGGCCGGGGGGGCAGCTGCTGCTCTGGGTGCCACTGCTCAGGCTGCCCTCATCCGAGTCCAGCGAGCTGCCCTTGCCTGGCTCCCCAGGCCACTCGCTGCTGGAGGAATTCTTAAGGACTTTTAAGGACCTGGATGAAGCTGCAGTGAGAAAAGCACATTTTCCCTTATGATAGAGGAACGGATTCCACAATGTGTTTGTTAATTTTTGCTTTGTAGGTTATCAGATATAACATCTTAATTAAAATTTTATCACCTCACTTCAATCCTGGGACTATCCTGGGACTTGGGCAAAAAAAAGTGTAGATACTGCAAATATGGACATTTTTTATTTATGTTTATTTGAAATTTTAAGTTGGAATTTGGCATTTTTAGAGGACCAATTACCAGAGCTTAATTACTGAGAACAATAAGCTATAAACTATCATAAGGGCTAGGATTCTTATTACTAATGAATAAATTTAAAAGTTAGTTTTACAGCTAATTAATGAATAAATTAGCTCTTGCTAATAATAAATTTAGAAATTTTAAGTTGGAATTTGGCATTTTTAGAGGACCAATTACCAGAGCTTAATTACTGAGAACAATAAGCTATAAACTATCATAAGGGCTAGGATTCTTATTACTAATGAATAAATTTAAAAGTTAGTTTTACAGCTAATTAATGAATAAATTAGCTCTTGCTAATGAATAAATTTAAAAGTTAGTTGCTAATAAAATCTAGGTTCCTTTCTTTCACTAAAGTACTTTGTAGTTTGAGAACTAAGATTACACCATATTTCTCTCCCACCTTCTCACCTGTTTATTTCCCTTTCTGCTCAATTAAAAGTACAAAAATGCTTTTTCTCTCTCTCTCAAAAAAAAAAATGATGACAGGAGGAACTGTTCCCTAGAAATCTGTGCTGTTGCTACTCCAGAACCCAGCTGGAGATGCAGTCTGCTCATGTCAACCAAGCAGGCACTAAGACCGCAGACTCCACCCGCCTTTACCCAGCCAGCTCTGCTCACTGACTCCAAGGGGGCCCAACACCAGCATCAGGACAGGACAGGGCAGGCCCCAGGGACGGAGAGACGACAAACAAGTGGCATTTACACAACAGAGACCGCAGTCTCAGTCGGCTTCCTCTGCTTCTGCTGCTCCCTGCCCCTCCATCCCACCTTCTCTCTCCACTCCCCTCCCCTGCTCATTTATGTTTCTCCTTTCTATTACTTTACTTGAGGAAGTCTACTCGAAAACCTGTGTCCACTGTCTGTCCGTCTGCTCTCCTACACACAGACACACACGCACAATCATTCAGTGAAAAGCCATAATGATCACTCAGTACTAGATTTTGCTGATGAGACATAAGAAAATTTCCATTACGGGTTCCTGAAGCCAAACTCCAGTTTCAGCTTATTCGGAGTTTTAAAAGGTAAGAAAATAATAGGACTAGAGTTCCTAATAGCTTTTTCTTTTCTCTTTCCATATGATACAAAAATACCTTGGTGGAGACAGATTTTATTTCTGAAAAGAGCCTCAGTGGCCAAACACACATACAGAGTCCTTACCTTCCAGAATCAGAGGCGTACTGTGATAATTAGCAATATAATACATCCCTGTAAGAATTAACACTTAGATTGAATTTTGCCCCTTTATCTCCATTTAACCACAAGCTTATGACACTAGTTTATCTAATAGCAGCTAACAGAAACACCCATATTTATGCATATTTCTCAAAAAATAAAAGTATTACTGAATTCATTAGTAAATGTACCTTTAAAGAAAAACAGAATTCCTCAATTAATTTATTAATAAACTATATCTTTTTACCTTTAAGAAAGATAATATTTTAAACTCTAGTGTATTTTATTTAGTATAAGGTAATAGAACTAAACAGTCCCCAACCATTTTACTGATTTTCTTTCTCCAAAACATTCAGTAAGCCATAAAATCTGCAGGTATTCTGGTGTTTTGGAGCATTCTGCAACTTAAGTTCCTGTTACTTGCTGACGTATTTGATGTGTATTTGAACATAAATTATTGGAACATTCTTTCAACTGTCAAGTTTGACTGACTCACTTTCTGTCAAGTTATCCTAATTAACCCACAGCCTTCAAGCTTTGGGATTATTGCTGTCAATTCAGTACAGCCATTTGTTTAATGCACAGTCTGCTCTAATACCTTCCATGGTGAACCTGCAAATATAAACCCTTTTTGATTTTTACTCATTAACTAGACATTGGAAAGTGCCATGCCGTATAATCTGTATTAATGAGTGAATACAAGTTTAGCCTACTTTATATGAAGCATTCAGAAAGAACTTATTAAACAAACAAATTCTCTCAGTGAAGGACTTTCAGTTGTTCAAAAACTTCACTGAATGCCCACTATGTGTCAAGCACTGTGCTGGGCAGTACAGATATAATTGTAAACAAGGCAGACATAGATAGCCCCCGCTCTCATGGGCCTTATACATTTAGTAAGGAAGACAGACATTAACACATAATTACAATCAAACAGAGAGAAAGCTAATGCCACAATTTGTGCCTTGCACAGCACCTGCCAAAGTTAAGCTCAGTACATACTGTTATCATTACCTCAATTTCAAAAATACAAATAGTCTACTCAGTAAAGAACTATGTTAAAGTTATAAATCAGGAGTGATACAAAGGGAGGAAAAGAGATGATATTCATGCTTCAAATTAAAACTGTGGTATAGTGGTGATGGACGCACAACACTGTGAACGTACTTAATGCCACTGAAGTGTACAGTTAAAAATGGTTAAAATGATAGATTTTGTTATATATATTTTACTACAATAAAAAAACAGCATTTAAAAATTGTATTAGGTTGTTAAATGTTGAATCAACTTCACCAAAGACTTATAGCACGTGAGTACTTCCGCATCTCAGAATGGTGCATAAAAGGTGAAGAGGAAGCCATACAGCACACAGCTGAAAGCAGAGAGAAACTGTGAAACTACTTTGCTTCGATTCTCTTCTAACCGTACTGAATTGTTCAGTTCACCTGCTCTGCTCACACAGCCTGTAGAGCACAGCTGAGAAGGAAAAAAGGAAAAAAAAAAAAAGCCACAACCTTAGAAATGGGCTTCACTACAAACTCCCAATTTCCATTATTTCCAATCTCGGTTCAGTTCTCAGAACTCTTCTCAATCCTTTTCCTTAACAGTAATCAGCTCCCAAACCTTTGCCACTCTCTCAAATCTGCTGTTAAATCCCACGTTATGCTTAACACATACCCTTCTTCTCAGAGGAAGCAAAGGCCCCCTCAGTTTCCTGATCCTCACCAACCCTACCCCTCCATTTGTTTCCGTTCTCACTTTTCCCACTCCAGGTCCTGAATAGGTGGCATCTCTGGCAAATGCACTGCCCCCCGCCTCACCAGCAGCAGCAGCTGTGCTCTGAATTCCCTCATCTGTGACCTGCTCATGAATCTTATTCCATCAAGTAGCCACTTGGTAACTTGACCTTCTCCCTCTCTACAGGCTCCTTCTCCTCAAGCTACTCCCATGCTTAAAAAAATAATTGTTATTCCCCCCACCCCTGACCCTAATCCTCTTCTAGCTACCATCCTATTTCTCCCCTTTCTCACTTCTAAGCTTGCACCACCATCCCTACCTCCCAGTCACTGCTCCACAGACTACAGTCAGGCCCCACTCCCTGCACACCCAGGCCAATGAGTACGCTAGCTGAAGACATCAGTGATTTCCCAATGACTCATTTCAATGGACCCTCTTCAGTTTTTTTTAAAAATAGAAAATCTCAGCCATATTCGACTCTCTTGATTGGCAGTACCACCATTCACCTAAAATCACCCAAGTGAAAAACCTGCCTTTCCAGAGTCCTTGCATACTATTTCATCTTCTCATTCAGTCACACACACACACACACACACACACACACAAATACACAGTATTATCCTCTTGTTAAATTAAAAAATACAGGTAAGCTTACAGAATAAAATGAAAATTAAAATAAGGTGCATGAGAGACAAAAACATATGTCCACACAAAGACTCGCACGCAAATGATCATAGCAGCACTATTCATAGCAGGCAAAAACTGGAAACAACCCAAACGTCCATCAACATGTGAATGGATAAAAAACTGTAGTATAGGCATGCAACGGAATACTCTACTCAGCAATAAAAAGGACTGAACTGCTAGTACAGTCGTCCCTCAGTATCTAAGAGGAGTTGGTTCCAGCAACCCAGCAGATACCAAAGTCTGCAGATGCTCAAGTCCCTGATATAAAGTGACGAAGTATTTGCATATAACCTATTCACATCCTCTTGTATACATACTTTAAACCATCTCTAGGTTGTAACCCAGCAGGACTCTCTGGGGCCTTCCCAGGACAGACCCCTCCCCCCATATCCTCTGCTTTAGCTCCTCTCTGAAGTGCAGATAATAGTGTCTGACGCACATTTCCTGAGTTATTTTACAGATGCTAAAACCACCACCAAATGGAAGAAATTAACTACCTGACCATGAGCATGTAGCCCCCAGACCTAATGGCACCTGAGGATTGATAATGTTAACTAACCCCTGTGACCCTGCCCTGTTATCTCACCATCAACCAATCAGAGAATTGTGCATGAGCTGATCACACACCCTGGGACTCCCCCCGCACACCTGGCTTTTAAAAATGTTTTGCTGAAACCCATGGGGAGTTCAGGCGTTTTGACACAAGCTGTCCTGGACTCCTTGCTTGAGTCTCTGCAATAAACGCTGCGCTCTCCTTCACCACAACCCGGTGTCAGTAGATTGGCTTTACCACCTGCCTCTGGAAGACCCAATTTGGTTCAGTAACAGGTTACTTATAATACCTAATGTAAATACTATGTAAACAGTTGCCAGCATGTGGCAAGTTACAGTTCCGCTTTTTGGAGCTTTCTGGAATGTTTTTTCTTTATATTTTTTATCTGTGGTTGGTTGAACCCAGGATAGCAAAACCATGGATATGGAGGGCCAACTGCATATGCAACGACATGGTAGAGTCTCAAAAGCATCATGCTGAGTGAAAGCTAGACACAAAAGAAAACATACTGTGGGATTCCATTTATAGAAAATTTTAGAAAAAGCAAAACTATAGTGACAGAAAGCAGATCAATAGTTGTCAGAGGCAGAGGTTCCAGGAATAGACTGGCTGCAAAGGGGCATGCAGCAACATCCTGGGGTGATGGAAGGCCCTGTATCATGACTGCAGTGGTGATTACATTACCATATACATTTGTCAAAACTCATCAAATTGTAGACGTAAAATGGTGAATTTTATCATATGTAAATTATCCCTCAATAAAGCTGACTTCCAAAAGTTAAAGTGAGTCTTCTAAAATGCATCCTAGGGACTTCCCTGGTGGCGCAGTACTCAAGAATGTGCCTGCCAATGCAGGGGACACAGGTTCAAGCTCTGGTCCGGGAAGATCCCACATGCCGTGGAATAACTAAGCTCATGTGCCACAACTACTGAGCCTGTGCTCTAGAGCCCACGAGCCACAACTACTGAGCCCGCATGCCACAACTACTGAAGCCTGCACACCTAGAGCCCACGTTCCGCAACAAGAGAAGCCACCGCAATGAGAAGCCCACGTACCGCAACGAAGAGTAGCCCCTGCTCGCCACAACCAGAGAAAACCCGTGAGCAGCAACCAAGACCCAAAGCAGCCAAAAATAAATAAATTTTAAAAATAAAAAATATTTAAAAATAAAAAATAAAATGCATTCTACTAAAGATTTCTGTGTCTGCATTTGTTTTCCATAGTCCTAATTCATATTTTAGTTCTATGGTAATTCAGTCCTATATAGAGTATTGTGTTTCTCATAATAATACAAATCCTTCTCTAACTGACTGGAAACAATACATAGAATTGTTTTATTTCCAGAAACCTTATCAAGGCAACAATTTACAGTGTAAGTGTGTGAATTTTGTTATTATCAAAATGGGAGTATCCTGATTGTGATAAATAAGTAGTATGTCTCTGATTCCACCTGCATAGCAATTTCACTGACTCTCAAAAAGGTTCTTTGGGAACCTCTTGAATGAAGACCTCAAACTCCAAAAGGTGAACACTGGTCTGTCTTTGAGACACTGTACCCATGTGGAAAACACGAGACAAGGACTTCCTCCTTATTTTATTCCCTTGGGATTGAAATGTGTACTTTTCTTTATTCCCATCCCACCGCTAGCACCTAATAAATACAGTAGTTTATGTTGACTCCTTCAAAATATTTAAGGCATAAATAAATGGAACTGCTGTCAGCAAAAGACTCACTTCCTAAACAATCTATATTCAAACAAATTTTATAATGTTATCAATTTGCCTAATCCTAACAATTTGACTTCCCTGGTGGTCCAGTGGTTAAGACTTTGCCTTGCAATGCAAGGGGTGCAGGTTCAATCCCTGGTTGGGGAGCTAAGATCTCACATGCCTCGTGGCCAAAATACCAAAACATAAAACAGAAGCAATACTGTAACAAATTCAATAAAGACTCTAAAAATGATCCACATCAAAAAAAAATATTAAAAAAAAAAATTCTTGTCTAGTCCTAGTAACCAGAAATACATACACAAGTTGCAAGCCTTAACCTGTTAAGGCAGTTCTGTTAATCCTTAGCTGGGGTAAACCTATGAATGCTCACCTGAAAACCACAAGATAGTGTATTAATGTATGTTCCCTGTGGTTCCACATACAGTTTCCAGAGTTATAGAATGATCATGCTATAATGCAGGGGAGAAAAGGGTGAAGGCAACTGGTTTCCATTCACTTATAATTAGTCTTACAAAGGCTGATTGATTATGACAGTTCCACTAACTCACTGACTTGCTTTCCAGAAATTAAGGATATTTCCAGCTAAACAGAGTAATTATCCAAAGATTAGTGGCTGGTGATTAATTTATCCTCTTAAATGACCATAAATAATAGGGATTACATTGCCTTGACATTTTTCCATAACCCATTCTCAGTTGCCGCCAGACACCCAAAGTCATCATGATGAATTAGAGGAAGAGACAGTTTAATTGGATTAAGCATTACTTTTATCTGATTTTTTTCCAAAAAATAATAATAGTCTGCCTTTTGCTTTAAGTGTCTCAATATGTGTTTCCTAATCAAAGCTACAAAAAAAAAACTACCATGTATACCAACTAATTATAATGGCATACACATAATGAACACTAAGTTATACAAAACAGTGTATTTTCAAGTCAACACCAAAAAACATACATTGCTCTTTTGTGATTCCTGACCTTTGGTATTAGCAAATCTCTCTGGTGTGTTGGCATGGGATTTAAAAGACTATATGGCTTCTGTTTCTCAAACTCTGAGGAAAAAATACTTGAGTTGGCCTTCCCTCTGCCTCCCCTCCCCATGATCACTGGATATCAAATTGACTTGTCATCAGGCCAGTACTTGAGTTCAACCCCACAAGCACAACAGTAGACAAGCATGGTCGAAACACTGCCTTAAACCCTGACATGTGCTTTAATACAGACCTTGCAAATGAAGCCAAAAGGTACTAAAAGATAAAACAGTTACTGGAAGGAAGGGTAGGGGGTAGGGGTGTCTTGGCTTACAAAATAAGGCAGATACCCTCTTCTTGCACAATCATCAATTCACTTTCACCCACCCCCTGCTTTTACTGGTTCTTCCTCCAGGGTCACTGCACTTCCAGCACCTTCAGCTGGGCTTCAATCACAAGAGAGCAATTCAGAACCTGAATTCTGAGAGACTACAGCACAGCACGAGAGTCAACACACACGCCCACATACAGGGACTGTGCCAACCTACTCAGTAACAAGAGTGTCTGACATATCTGTTGTGCATCCAAAGCACTTTGACATTCTTTTATCTTACTTGAGTCTCACTGCTACAACTGAGGAACTGAGTAGCTGACTCAGTTCCTAAACTCTGTGATGGCTGATCTACAAGATAACATCTTCCTGTTGAACAAGTTTTCCACCACTATCAATACTTTACATTTAAATTAGAAATATATAAATTAATTGAAACGATTCTAAGCCACTCGCACAGGCTCTTGGTCTAGAACATCTTGAAAATAAGACTTACAGACTGGTTTAATTAATTATACGGTGAATGCAAGAAACAGTAAATGCAGATAGTCTCAGAGGTCACGTAAAACTAAAGGGGGAAAAAAAAAACCAAGTCTTAGGACTAAGTTTTGGAAATACTTAAGACAATGACAGTAAAAAATACAATCTGACCTTTGGAAAGTTGCAAATCTGAATTAGAGAAATCTAAATGCTGGAAAGATTTTTTTTTTGAGGATGAAGTGTTGTTACTTTTAAATAAGATGATTTCAATGGAAACCAACTAAGCTACCTAGGAGCAGCCCCTTGGGCTTCTTGAGACAGAATTTCTCAGTTTCTATGTTTACATCACATTCCTCATAAAGAGACGGGCTCTTTCCAAAGCTCTATCTCCAGCCTCAGCTCCACTCTGAGGCTCCAGGTTTACGTGTCCAGTTATCTGCTTGACATCATCCCCTGATGTCCTGCTGGCATTTCACACTCATATGTCTAACATCTGGGTCAGCCTTTCCCTGTCAACTCCGCCTCCACATGCCCCTGGTCCTGTCAGTGGCACCATCCAGGACTGTCTACATCATTTGTAGGGCCGAGTACAAAACGAAAATGTGGGGCTCCTAGTTCAAAAATTGTTTAGATACTGTCCCCAGGCATAAGCATCATCTGTTTCCATGTCACTGTCCACACGCATCACTTGCCAGACTTCCCTCAGTCTGTCCTTTGAAATGGGCCACGATACCAAAAAAAAAAAAAAAAAAAAAAGATGTCTACAGATATGTTATTTACATTGCATAACACAGCCTGCGATTCAAACACCCAGCAAAAGGAGGTCTGGCTGAGTAATCTAGGGTAGATCAGTATGATAGCCGAATATCACATTTACTGAAAACATGAAGCAGGTACGCTACCTAATTAAGAAAAATGTACCTTAAAAGGACTGTTCACTGAGAAACAGAAAACAACATATTCACATATAAATCTACAATTCCTTATTTCCAACTTTGGAATCCCAAACCCAAAGTATTTTTATAAGATGGCATCAATACTCACTTGGAAGTAAAACATGATCTGAACTGACATGAGGGTACTTATGGTCTCTATTTGTCCCAATTACTCTGAATAGCCGTACATTTTTTTGCAGAAATATCAGTGTTTTAGATTATAGGGTGCTGCCTCAGACTCCCCTGGGCGGGGAAGGGCGGGGGGTAAAAAACACAGGTGTATGAACCAGGTTACCTTTTTAAAATCAAAAAAATTCGACCCCAAAACACATATGGCCCCAAGAGTTTCAGATAAGGGACTGTGGCTCTGTGCTAATGACATCAGTTGTAAATTTAAAGAGTTAAAGTTTGGTATTCCTCAGCTTTGTTGAAAAAAGTGTCTGAGGGACTTCCCTGGTGGTGCAGTGGTTAAGAATCTGCCTGCCAATGCAGGGGACATGGGTTCAAGCCCTGGTCCGGGAAGATCCCACACACCGTGGAGCAACTAAGCCCGTGTGCCACAACTACTGAGCCTGCGCTCTAGAGCCCGCGAGCCACAACTCCTGAGCCCTCGTGCCACAACTGCTGAAGCCCGCGCACCTAGAGCCCATGCTCTGCAACAAGAGAAGCCACTGCAAGGAGAAGCCTACGCACTGCAATGAAGAGTAGCCCCCGCTTGCCACAACTAGAGAAAGCCCTCACACAGAAACGAAGACCCAACACAGCCAAAAGTAAATAAATAAATAAATAAAATTTACAAAAAAAAAAAAAAGAACCACCAAACAAGAGGATTCTTGATTAGTAATTATTTATCACTCTGGATTTACAATTATGCATACAAACACAAATATTCATCTATTATCTCTTCTGCCCCTTCTCTAGTCCCTCTACCCGCCCCCCAAAAGAGAAATATCAATAATAATTTTCTGTGCTGTGTCTGGCTGGGGCTCAGGTATGATTAGCATCGTATGATCTAGCTTTTAGCGACTGTCCATCTGATATTAAATATCTCCATTTTGATCCAAAACAAAATGTGGCCAAATAATGTAACGTGATTTAAAATCAGTTCCCTGGGATTTCCCTGGTGGTCCAGTGGTTAAGACTCCACACTTCAAATGTAGGAGCCACAGGTTCGGGTCGGGGAACTAGGATCCCACAAGCTGTGTGACACAGCCAAAAAAAAAAAAAAAAAGCCTCTCCTCCTAATCTGTTTATATACAATTAACGAAAGATCATCATTATAAAACTAAAATCAGTTCCCTTTACCAGTTCCAGCCTATTCCATAATTAACATTTTTCTCTGAGAAGAGACAAAACCTAACAACTACAATGAAAACTCCATACATCTATCATTTATTCCCACAAGACCGCTTAATCTTAGGCCAAATTTACTATTACAGTCATTAAAGTTAATACATCTAATGCTAATAGTTAATTATTTTTAATATTAATATTTTTGCTATTATGAAAGCAACACTTGTTCAACATAGAAAAACTAGAAGCTACAGATAAACCAACAGAGACTAAGAAGCCCAAAAACCTGGCACTGGGAGGTAACTTTGGAGTTGGGAGTACTGCTGCCAAAGTTCAAGTGTTACATTACTGCAGGAAAACAACTGCAACTTTCTGCCCCCATCTGTGCTAAAACATCAATTAACTTTGTGGAATGCAGTCCATTGACAAATGTGAATCCTTTGAGATGCTGACATTTGAAATTGGAACTTGAAGTCAAAACTAATAAAAAGGATAATTAAGCAAGATGAAAAGGTTTTTACTATTAAAACCAGTCACCAGACCAGCCCACCCCACTTGGCATTAGTACCTACACAGAAAAAGTCAATAAATACCTCTGTTTAATGAGTAGTGGTTTTCTACTCTAGTGAAATGTATCTCAGAATTGTTTTTTGGATCCAGTCTAAGTTGGTCACAAGACTAAATAAATTTTGACTTTCTGAACACATGCAGAACACCGTTGATGCAATTTACTCTTTAGCAAAAAAAAAAAGAAAGAAAGAAAGGGTAAAGCTGAACCACAGACCAATGCACCTTTCCCTGAGTTTTATACGTTAACTTAACCACTGACCTTTCATTTAGATTTAGCTATCTAATGATAGAAACACATACCTTGAACTGAATTCAAAACTCCAGTCACTGATTCTCAAGTTGGGGGACTGGAGGAGGAAGGCAGCACAGTTCCCCTCACTAAGAGGAGCATATCAGAGAAGCACACTTAGTTTTTTGGGGTTTTTTTTTTTTGCGGTACACGGGCCTCTCACTGTTGTGGCCTCTCCCGTTGCGGAGCACAGGCTCCAGACACGCAGGCTCAGCAGCCATGGCTCACGGGCCCAGCCGCTCCGCGGCATGTGGGATCTTCCCAGACCGGGGCACAAACCCGCATCCCCTGCAACAGCTGGCGGACTCTCAACCACTGTGCCACCAGGGAAGCCCCACACTTAGTTTTAAAAAGCATATTCAGTATTATAATTTTGTCTTCAAAAAAACAAAGAAAGAATCCCAGGGGATTCCCTGGCCGTCCAGTGGTTAGGACTCAGCACTTTCACCGCAGGGGCCTGGGTTCAATCCCTGGTGGGGGAACTAAGATTCCACATACCACGTGGTGCGGCCAAAAAAAAAAAAATCGTAATTATTTCCATAATACCACTAAAAGTAAAGGGACAAAATCTTAGCTAGTGGAAAAATACAGAAACATGGCTTTATCTTCCAGGTATTAGGGAATCTCACTCAAAAGTTAAACTACCCTTGGAGGTGTGTATCAAAATTTTCAACAGCTATGGGACTTTTATGTTTGGGAACAAAGGGGGTTAGAAACACTGCTTTGGTCCACATACCTTATTTCAAATCTTTATTTCATGTGTATCCCCATAATTAAAAATTAGTGAAACACAATAGCCAAGACATGGAAACAACCTAAATGTCCAATGACAGATGAATGGATAAGGGAGATGTAGTACTAGGT